CAAAAACAAACAAAAACACTGCTTATATATATGTTTTAAATATATTTTTGTATATAAATATTCCCTACTCATCAGCAGACAGGGACATTTGATTTTTTTGGTGAAATTCAAATAAAAGGTTGCAGGTTCAGGCTACAGTGGTGATATTGGGAGAGTTGAGTTCAATACACATTATGAAAATTAGAAGATAAAAAGTCACTTAGTTGCACATCCCTTGGATTATGATTGTTTCTCTAATAAGTCCACAGTATTTTTATGTTATATAACATTGTACTGTATATTAATCTTATTATTGGTAATCTTGTTTTTTATGTTGTATATTTTCTATACTTTTGGAACTTTCACCATCCATATCTTAATGCTGCCATTACCGCTGAATTTTGCCCCCAGTGGGACAATAAAGACTGTTTCCTCTGCAACCTGCTGCTGACTCTGAGCTTTGTGTCAACGTTCCTCAGAACTTCCTGCTAGAACCAAAAGGCTAGCGGGGAATAGCATGAGGACGAGGATTGCTACACAGCCATCAGTGAACCCCAACATTTAGGGGTTTGGATAAGATGCAACAAGTGTTAAAACACTGACGGCTTAATTAAACTGCCTGGTAAAGCGTAGAAAATCTTAGGTGAAATGCGACTTTATCAGAAAGCCTAGAATCTTTGAGTGTTTATGAGTAGTGCAGGAGGAAAGCAGATGTGAGAACCCACCACTTCATTAGGAACATCAGCTCTCCACTGGAGTCGGTGGCTCCAATAATCCTCTCAGGCTGCAGGCCTCTGCCAAAACCTCTGGCCTTGTCCCCCTGACAGCAGAACACACACATCTCATGCATGGCATCACTCACAGACAGCAACTCAGATGGAGAAATAGACCCACAACAATTATGTAGACAAAAAATGTTAGTTTGTCAGAGACAAGCAAATGTTCTGCAGTGGACTGATTTCGATAATATACAGTCACAGCAGGAGATTAACAGTGAAGGAACCCAGAGCAGCTCTCTGCAGAGTCTGTGGCTGCTGCAGCACAACAAGGTGTTCATCAGGAATTGTTACAATATTTACACTAATGTATAATGTTAAATGTAGGGCTGTTGTAAACGAATATTTTAGTAATCGAGTA